TGGTACTTTATTATGGATTCCTACAGTGTACATTTATGTCACAGGCTTGGATGTTTAACTTGAGTCAAGTCTGGGCAGAAAAGAGAGCTCAGCGTCTTCTTATTTTCAATATGGAGGGAAAAGATGCAACTTGTTACACTGGTTTGATGCAACCTTCCCCCATACCACTTCTCAGAGAGCTTTAAATAGCCCGACACTGGCACTGGGTAAGAGCTGGCAGAAGAATAGATTTTTTTCATCTGATGGCTCGCCAAGGTTGTTTTCAAGAAGGAGAAGTAGAAGAAGAAGGAAAAAAAAAAAACTTTTACATGCCAGTCATTCATTGCCTGCCAGTTCCCATGGTTCTCCTATGGATGGTAGCCACATAACTATTCAAAGTACAGTAAACAGTGAGGAAAGTGAAAAGAAACTCGTGAAGAAGAGAACAGCAAAGGGAAAGAAGCTGGATGTGGGATACTGGTAGTAGGAGTCACACAGGGATCCTTTTAGGAAGTACCATGGATGCTGACCTCATTTCCTGCGGCATTTTTTCCTGCAGCAGCTCTTTGGCTCTACTCAGCAAAAGACCCAGTGCATGATGCAGCATCCTGGGAGAAGGTGAGCAGAGGGCCAGAAATGTTTTCCTAGTCTCAGGTATGAAGAAGAGTGGTGACTGCTGCATATGCATATTGAGATGCACATATAGTCAGTCCATGGCTGGAATGAGTGGTCCTGTGGGATTTGTTGCTATCGTGCTGCTAGCTACATTTGTGCTCTTTCAGCCTCTGGAAAGGAATGAGTGGGTTTTGTTTTTGTTGTCTGTTTTTAAATTATTTATCATTTTCTGTTTCATAACTCAGAGAAGGAAGAGCAGAGTGGAGATGGACTGTTACAGTTTTCCTCCCACATACCTGGAGCACTGGTGTGAAATCCATATTATTACCCTCTATGTTAGCTGTAGATAGAGATGCTCCTGCAAGGCTGTTAGTTGCAAGGGAGGTGTATTGCCTTTGCTGTGTGTGATGCATTTAACCTCAGCGGGACGAGGGAGATGGCGTACCAAAGTATGCTTGTTTCACTAAAAAAAAAACTTTTCATGGAAAGAGAATTATAATAACTAGGCATTTCTCTGATATGGCTAAATACAGGAAAGCTGCTCGGAGGATCAAAAATGTCTGTCCTTTGAGTGGTTCAATGTGTTTTCCATATCGGTTACCATCTAATGCTTACTTCAACAAAGATGTATTTTCTTTGACAAGTCAACTGAAATCCTGCAGATCTATTTGCTGTTTACATTATGACTTATGCAAATAAAACCATCCCGGATTGGATCTGAGGGTTGCTTTTAGCTGACTCAGAACTCATGTATCCTGATTAAAAGATATTGTGAAGTCTTGCTTCCCTGAGACGGGCCTGGAATGACTCAGTTCTCTCTCAAGCTCCTTTTGCCTAAGGCTGGTGTTTCAGAAGATGCCAGTTCCTCGCTGTCACCGTATCTTTGATATCTTTGTTGTTCATCTTTGTTCTTTGTGGACAGGGTCTCCTGCACACTGGGTTGCCCCTGGTTTCTGCACTCCTGTGTAAAATGAAGATTCAATAAGGAATTATTGCTGTATCAAAATATATTGTTCTGAGTGTGTTTGAGAAAAAGTAGCCATTCATTGAAGGAAGTGAAAAGTATGCACGAGGAAGAGCATGTGAAGAAGAGCAATAGCAGCTTTTAGCTGACTGAAGGGACTGGCTCTTTTGCTAAGATTAAAAGAATTCAAAGCCATGGCGAAACATTATATTTCTCTACAGCCACAGAAAGTCCTCAAAATCAATTAGAGAAGCTTTAATGGCACTATCCAAAAGGTGGTGATAAGCACCTGCCGGGATCTGAGGACTGTTATGCTGTGAGGACTGACACAACCAATGTGGTGTTCCCAAGAAGATTAGCCCTTGATGCTGAGCAACACCAGGCTGTGTGATCAGAAGGTGGACATCAGGGCTCAGCTCCAACTTGCTTGACATGCGTACTACATTTCTGGGTAACCAGAAGAGGAGAGTTCCTTGTGGATGATGGCAGTCCTTCGCCAACTTCCAGACCACTCTTCTGCAGCTGTGGTTCATCCATTCCCATGTTCTGTCCAGTGAGGGAGGCATCCAGTGTACCAAATAATCCTCAAGCAGTAGTCTCAGAGGTAATTAACTCTTTAGTCACCCTGTGAGGGAATTTGGGAAAATGGTGGGATAGGGCCCATCAGGAAAGTAGTGGGAGCCCTGTTTGTTGCTGAAGCCCAAGCAAAGCAGTGTTGTGGAGGACTATAATGAAGGCAGATCTAATATAAGGGGCAGCCTGCTTCAGAGAAATGGAGGGAAAATAAAGCTTTATTTTCAGGGTTTATAGGTCGTTTCAGCACACCTGCAAGGAGTGTTGGAGAGGACAAATGTGAGATGGAGGTATTACAGGCTGAACGCCTCTCAATCTGCACCTCTGCTGCAGAAAGATAGGGAGTATTTTGTATCAGGGAATGTCTGAGGGATGTTGGCTGAATTCTAAAAGATTCCCTTTGAACCACAATAATTCCAAAAATAGAGATTAGCGGTAACACAAGTGTTGTTTGGATGGCTACAAGCACTGCAAATCAAAGCCTGGGCTGGTAAAGGTAAAGAGTGATGACCAAGAGGAAACCCACCTACCAAATCCACCCTAAGATCTCTAGGACTATTTTCCTCATCTCAAGGTTTCCAGTCATGTTAAAACTCCTGCCTTCTTCCGTACTGATTTCAAGGAATGATGCAGCCTTGTCCCATTAATAACTGTACACAAGAGGCAGAAGATTTGAAATAGCTCTCTTTTGGGACATTTTTTTGATGCTTTCTGCTCCAGCAAGTGAGGAAGCGGGAGGAACGTGCTCTGTGTGAGCATGTCCCCCAGTGACTCCATGCCTGTGCAATGAGCTGGCCCTGTTGTGTGGAGCTGCCTTCACTCTCCTGATCTTTCACAGGGGAATTTGCAGCAGGGAATGCAGCTGAAGAAAATTTCCTATCCTACAGAAGTAAGCAGAGCACACATCTAAAGGGACAGGCTTGGTCGCTACGATGCACATTAAAAAACAACAACAACAACAACAACAAAATAAAGGTTATGTATGCTGAGAAAAGAGATGTCTGGTCATTTGGGACCAAGTTCTGATTTTGTTCCTGAGCTGATGAATAATTCAGAGGGACAAACTGATATGCAAGCAGCAGGACGTGGGTTGAGACTTCTTGCTTTGCGGAGCACCTACTACAGATAAGTCATTGCACTGAATGACCAGTACAATTCCAAGGACATGCAGTGCTGGAAAGAGACAGGAAATCTGCTTAAATACAAAAAAAACCCCAAAAAACGATGAGTTAGAGAAAGGTTATTTAAAGCTTAAAAGAATTTGGCAAATTGTCTGATGCTGTCATCCACTTCTCTTTCCTTCCCGTTCCCCGGTCACAGTTCTCTGCCATGTTAGAGTGTGCAGGAGAGGTGGCCCTGTCAAGCTTTCAAAAGGCAGCATACTGAAAAGGTCAGGGTAGTATAGTATGACAGAGCATGTAAGTCATTATCATTCTAATATTGCTTTTGTAATGAGAACAAGAGCGGAGCAAATTATTGTGAAATACCTTGTAAAACTTGGGGAAAAAAAATCATAGTTATATCAGTGCCAAAGTAAACGATGAGTGGATTCTATGTGTGTCTTTATAAACATGCTCCTCTGTTGGAGGAGTTTGAAATAAAAAGATTTGTGGCAATTTCCATGGTAACTATTCATTTTTTCCCCCAACTGGATAAGGAAAACTCATATTACTGCAAGGTTGGGAGGAAGTGAAGCTAACTGAGGAGCTCGGGGATTTTGTTTGATTTTTTGTTTGTTTTGTTTATCTGTTTGTTTGTTTTAAATTAAGATCTGTCAAAACTTTGGCACTTATTCCTGTCATCTGAGTAACATGAAGCTGAAAATGTATTAGTGTTATATCTAGATCCATTTACCTCACACAGGTCCTACACAGTATAACTGTATTGCTAACAACTCAAGGTTGTTTATTTGGACCATTTACTAGAAATTAACCTTTTGCAAAAACTTGGGGAATTGAAAAGAAAAGAGTAACTCACATTCCCCTGTAGGTCCCTAAGTATAAAACCATCACAGATTTGTGACGTTCTTGGTTTTGGAGTGAAGTGGAGGAAGAGCATGTAGAAAATACCAACCAGATTGGAGAAACACCAGTTTTTTGGATGTTTTGGGTACCTTGTTTGTGAGCAATCACTGTGCTGACACAGAATCACAGAATGTCCTGGGTTGGAAGGGACCTCAAGGATGATGAACTGCCGACCACCCCACCCCACCACATACAGGGCCACCAGCCTCCACATTTAATACTAGACTAGGCTGCCCAGAGCACCATCCAACCTGGCCTTGAACACCTCCAGGGACGGGGCATCCACAGCCTCTCTGGGCAGCCTGTTACAGCACAAGTCCTTTAGTCCAACCATCACCTCCCTGGTGGGTGGAACCCAGCCAGACCACAAGCATTCACTGCAACTCATAGTAACTAAGAGAGACTTGAGTCTGCTTATGTCCTACTGCTGTGTACTGTTTAATGTTTCTTCATGTTGCTCCCCTACATTCTCATTAATATATGCATTTTATCTTACTCTGACAAACTGCAGCCTTTTATACATTCGGAGATTTAAATAAAGTAGATTATGGGTTGATTTATGTAAACCATTGAAAATTCCACTTGAATAGGTTTACAAGCTGTCTTTTGTCAGTTTAGCTTTCTTTGATATCTGAGATTGCAAATTAAAATATGAAATGAAACGAAAGTTACACCAAATCTGCAACATGTCATTTATAACAAGGAAGCTGGCATTTCAGAGGAGTGAACTGTACATGCCGTAGGGCTTTGATCTTTAGGTCGAAGAAGCTGCAGGCAGAAAGCACATGCTTTTTCAAAAATAAGTTTTGCTCACAAGAAACCACCTGTTTTGTGTTCTGGCTTAGGTACCTCTGAGAGACGAAGGTCAAGAAATGGGCTCCTCGCCAGGCCACGGCCATGATCCAGGTCAGATAATAAGGTTATTCGGTAACATCATCATTTGTGGAGCATTACGTCAGTGGAATATGTTTTGGTCATTACTTGGTGTTTATGGTGTATCATGTAGGTCCTGCACACATTTATTTAAGGACAACGCAGACAGAAATGCTTGTGAATCCTCACCTCATGAATGGTATACCCTTGGCATACCTACTCTTTACACAAAAAGATTGGTGTGCTGTAGTGCATAAGAAACTCTTTCCTCTCAAGGTCTATTTGGTTTTAGCGGAGTTTGCAGAGGTTTTAGCGGAGGGAACAGAGAGCATGCAAGTGTGAGCTCCTTGGATTTGGGGAAGGAGCTGGGGGTTTTGGGAATGCTATGCTCACCCTCCACCTCAAAGCATGGCCAGCTGAATCTCTTTACCATTTAATTTCTACAAGTGTTCCAAAAGGGAGAGCTGTCTAGATGGTCCTTTAACTGAGTAATACCTTGCATAGCAAACGTAGATTCAAACGTCCCTAAAAAAGCTGCTGTAGACCACATGCAGATTTCCTGTTTGAACCCTGCTCTAAACTCATTTTTGAGTTAAAGCTCTATTTCTCCTGTAGTTGCAGCTCACTGTTGAACTCTTCTTGTCTATTTTTCCTTTGGTCTGGCTTACAAAAACTGATGGTTTTTTTTTTTTTTTTTAAGTTGTCTATAAGATCTTCATGTCTTGATGGATCTGTGCTATACGTTCACCTCCCAGAGCTGAGGAAAGGTCACTGGCAGTTCACTCCCTCCTTAAAATTGGAGAGACTGAGTTGCTCTTTTCTACTAAAGTTACATATAGAAGCTGTGAGACATAAAAACAATATTATGCCAGCTTGTCAGAAATGTGCCAAGCAGCTGTCCCTCAGGTTCCCCTTGTATGAGCATATATATGATGTTTTCAAAACTATAAAAGGTCTGAAACGCAAATAAAACAACTAATTGCGATTTTCTCACCAAACAGAAGTCGTGGTTTGTTCAAAAGAGTGTTTTATTTTCCTTTTCTCTTTTTTTTTTTTTTTTTTTTTTCCCCCTTATTGGCAAGAATGTGGACTTTGTTTGTCAGCTTGTGGGCCTACCTATAACAGTCAAAAGGTGAAATGCCTGAATATTAAGCCATAATCCATCATTGTACACACACTAATTACTTTCTGTCCTCCCCTTCTCTTGTCACTGTGGTCCAAAGCAGGTTTTCTGAGACTGAGTACATTCATCTGAGCTGTTAGCTGCTACGCTCCACCGCATCCCTGTATGATCTGCCTAGGCTTGGTCCCCCAGAGGAAATTTCTGCATGCATACTGTATATGAACTTTAGATAAATAAATAAACACGAGAAACAGCTTCCAGATAATTGAAAGCGAGTGAAGGAGGGAGCAAAAAGAAAACAATTTCTCAGGGGAGAAGCAAGCTGAGGTGGCAGGTATGATTAAAATCCATATGATTTATGAGTAGGTGCGTCGCTAACATGACAACCCCTCAGTGTTTGTTTGGTTTGTTGCGTTTGACAATAAAGTTTCTTTTTCCACCCACTTCACCTTTTTTTTCTGCTTTCCCCCCCTGCCCCTTCTCCTTTCTTCCTCTCTTTTTTTCCCCTCATCTCCTTGCTGCAGGTTTTGCTCAGGAGTTGGCCACTCAGGAATTCCTAGTGCCTGACTGAGCAGTAATTTAGCAAGCTCTCTTGTGCTCTTTTCCTGTCAGCATTAACATGTCAATTCATTTTAATAGTCTGGGCATGCGCAGAGGGGATGCATTTTCTCAGTAGGTATCCCATGAGCCCACCCCGTGGTGCAGAAATGTGTTATAGCTTGTCTCAGGCCACAGAGACTTCAGCAGGTTTATTTTCGTTATGGCCAAGTGTATTTGTAAAGACAAAGCATGAACAAGGAGAACAAGGAGAAAGAGTATATACAACAAGACTTTAAAATATTAAACGGGATCTGCATGTCTGATTGGTAATTTATGACCTATGCAAAGAAAAGGTTATAAAGCCTTTTTTTTTCTTTTTGGGGGGAAAGGGGTTGATATTATTACATGGCAGTGCTGCCACTTCCTCTGTTTTTTTGGAAATTAAATGATATCATGCCACGCTGGGAATTATCTATAATCATGATTAATAGTTGAATTGCCTCTTATATTAAACCAGAATTTCCCTGCCATCCTTCTTATTGAAGAACCATTAGATAGATTTGTATCCAGTTTCTGGTCTCAAGTACCTAAAAGCAAGGACTGCCCAATCCATGGGCCAATCCTTTGATTACAATACAACACTTCTACCTAAAAAATGCTTGAATCTCTGCAGGATTTAAAAGATATGGGTAGAAATTGTAGATTTGTAAAAGGATAAAACGAAAAAAAAATAATAATAGAAAGTATGACACCTTATGGCATCTTAAATGACATGGCATGACTTTTTTGCAGGTACAGCCTAAATTCAGCCAAGGAATTTTGGTTCTTCTGTACCTTCATGTGATTATTGAAGCACACTGAACTGTGGTATCAACATCTGTATGGTACAAATACTTTTTCAGTCCAGCTGGACTCAGCTGCATGATCTGTGACCTGAAAAGGTAAGATTGCTATTTGTTTCTAAAGGATCCTTTTTATTTAAGGAAAATGTGCTCTCGTGGTAGGTTCTGCTCTCCAGGGGTCCGTGAAAGCTGCAATGTCCTAGAGTTGTGTGGGAATGTGCTTGTGCTGGGACACAGTTACAGCTGAGTAGGTGGAAAATTATGTCAGGAATCTGAAGTTTGGCATGGGGATTCCCTCTCCTTTGGCCATGAAAGGAATGATCTTACTTCCTCCAAGAAGAAAGCTGCAGAGTACCTTGTCAAGGAACAGCAAAGGCTCCACTCAATGGTGGTCAGTCAGTGCATTTCCCAAAAGAGGCTGGCACAAAACTGTGTGTCACAGCACTATAGAAAAGCCATGCAGGAACTAATAGTACAGGATGCTTGAAATTGGCCTCTTGTGAGCTGTTTGAATGGCAAAAAATACAGAGTTCAGATAAAGAAAATTCCAAGACTAATGGCAAATACCACAAGGACAAATTATATCAAGAAGGAAAAGTGAATAACTCTTTACTTGGTGAGGGCCTGTGGCATCATCAGTGGCATCATAGAAGTGCTCCATGTAGCAATGTAAACGTGTGTCCAAACTACCTGCAGCCAGGGAACATTAGACCTATGGCACTGTGGAGGGTCATTCTGTGTTTGTGTCCGTCCATCTCCAGAAGCATTAAGGAATTTGGATAACAATGATACATAGATTGGGGCTGGTTGTTGTTGATGCTTAAGGGTAAAATTATGGATAGTTTGAAGCTTATCTGTGACATATGAGTCCCTATCACTAAGAGTCCCATAACTGCAAAAAGAAGTGATGTGGTCTTTTACCTTGTAGAGGAAAATATAAACAGGTAAAGAGAGAGTCAACATAAGGTCTCTGCTGGCATTTATTTAGTGAAACATTAAAACCATCTGAGCATTTTCTTGGATGTTTTCTAGGGCACAATGCGTATGAAGCAAGGTTGTCTATGCACGTGTGCAGTTATACCACGCACAAATTGAACTCAGTGGCCAAATTCTGGTTAGGTTTGACTGATGATCAGAAGACACAAGCAGTTGCAGTAAATAATAAATTAGGTAGAGAATTCTGAACTGACATGCTTATAGAGCAGCATTGTGAGATTTTCCTCCTCATCAGGTATCTGAGAGCCTACTTTTTTGGAAGGAGGAGGAAAGAGAGAGAAGAGAGTTGATTTCTCATGAGAATTGCCCAACAGAAATTAAATTCAAGTGTCTGTTTGGCTTTTCTGAAGTCTAGTAAGTTAAGAAGCCAAACTTTGCTCTGTGTGGGAGTTTCCTACAAAGCGGAGTGCAGGGAAGGATTCATAGCCAGCTCTAGATAAGAGTGATAAGCAGAGGATTAGGTTTGAGAGCTAATTCCTGTGTGCTGTCTTTTCCCCAGAGAGACTAAGGGTTCATGCAAGAGGTGCCTCCATCTGTGCCAGACTTTGCAAACACACATTTTCATCCAACAAGTTTGGCTGCCAAGTTGCTCTACCTTAAGTCTTTTGCAAGTAGGTTCTGAACTGGAACTCATGTTGGCTTCTGGCAAAAACAGGAATGAAGATGTAAGGCGTGTAATGATTTGGCTCCTGAGAGAAAAGGTGTGTGTGTGAGGAGAACATTTTTCAGCCACACGACAGTTTCACCATGTGGGAAAAATGTCTGCTTAACTTTAAAGAGCAACTTGCAATATCTCAGAGTGTGTGAGGAAGATTGGTCATAGCAAAAAAGCGACATGGGAAGTGAACAGAGGAAGTCTGAGGCTTTAGGAGAAAATGATAAGCATAGCAAGGGAGCTGTTTAAAGGGAGGGGTGAAGGGGCAGACATGAACCTCTAAATTTCCCCACCTGCAAAAAGAGGCTGAAAGCTGCAGGGGAATCTTGCTGCCCATGTGAGCATCGTTTCCCATGCAATGCAGAGCCAAGTGAGGAGAAAAGTAATTGCCTTGGATGGGAGGCACGATATGACATGAAATACAAGCACATCTTTTGTGGAATTTGTAAGCCATAAAAGTATTTTAATAACATCTGGTGCAGGGGCGTGTTGAAGCTTAATTAATTAATCCTTGCAAAGGACTTGGAAATTCTGGGATCAAAGGTGTTGCATTAGTGCAAAATGCCATTATTATACCTATAAACGTGTGCTTGTTAACTTAAATGCTATTTATTTATTGCCGCTATATACTTGTATGGCAGTATATATCAAGTATATTACAAACATTTTAAAAGTACACTTTTTCATTGCATAAAGCTGTCCCTATTCAGGTGTTGCTGCTAATGCCACACAGAACCCCTAATTGACTCCGAGAAAGCCTCTGTCTTTGGGGTATGTGTGCATGGTATGTCCCACTCTCTGATATTACTATGGATGCTGCTATGCAAGAGACAAAGATTATGCCCACAGCTATGACTGAAGCCTGA